GCAATTATGAATGTGTTCAAGAGTATAGCACCGGTGCCCAGGTTAACATTGCTGAAAACACCCATATATAGGCAGGGCAGGCCCATCTTCCCAGGCTTCTGTTTCATGGAGGGCAGAAGCCATGAGACACATCATTATCTTCCAGTGCCAGACACACAGCAGGTGCCCATGTGCTCACTAGACTGAACAACATTTCTCTTTCCATTAAAATTTATTTCCTACTGGGCAGTGGTGGCACACACCTTTAATCCCAGCACTTGGGAGGCAGAGGCAGGCGATCTCTGAGTGAGGTCCCGGACAGCTAGGGCTACACAGAGAAACCCTGTCAAAAAAAAAAAAAAAAAAAAAAAGCAACAAAAATTTGTTTGCCGGGGCTGGAGCGATGGCTCAGTGGTTAAGAGCACTGACTTCTATTCCAGAGAACCTGGGTTCAATTCCCAGCACCCACATGGCAGCTAACAACTGTCTGTAACTCCAAGATCTGACACCCTCACACAGATGTGCATGCAGGCAAAACACCAATGCAAATAAAATAAATAAAAATAAATTTTAAAAAATTGTTTGCTGATTAATCCCGAGGGAGCCCGAGTATGAGTATGAAAGCATCCATTCCACTCTCCTGAGCTGATACCAATCTCTCAGCCTGCAGGTTGAACTTTCTGGATTGGAGCATTCCTGCTCCCAAGAGAGAGGACACCCAGCTTGGTGTCACAGTGCACATCACAGCACATCCTAGAGGCTGTGCTGAGGGTAAAAGCTGGGAATAAGGTAGTGACAGTCCCCGAGACCTGGCATGCCCTTCCCCCATTCCTAGTCTGCCTTTTGGCTAGGGGCCAGACAGCTGTGTGGGTTCCACGCACTAACAGTTTGTGAGATGGCACAGAAAACCATTCTCTCAGACACGGAGGGCTGGGCTGTCAGCGAAGAGAGCCCCACAGGTGGAGTGGGCATGGAGATTCAGGTGAGGCCTCTCTCATGGAGGTGTTTCTTCCTTGTTACAATTAGCAACTGGGACCTCACTTCCACACACACCTCATCATTAACATGAATATCCTAAAAATAGAATCGGATCCCAGAGTGAGGAACTTCCAGAGAAAGCAGCTTCCAGACTCAGATGGAGGAGACCCACCCACCAGCTCAGCAGCCCAGCGGGAAGGTCCTCAGGCACAGAGCCAGTGGAAATTTGCCCAAATAGAAATATTTTTCTGTAACTTCTGCTTCCAACTCCCATCCTCGTGGGATCTACACAATGCTTCTCTATTATTATGGAGATGCAAGAGGCCAGGGAGCTCACAAAGCCAAATCTTTGGATGAAGGATCAGGGTTCTCTGGACAATTAGGAGGACGTGGGTGAAGATGTGACCAGAAGTGGCTGCCAAGGGTCCTGTCTTCCTGAAGGAGAAGCTCCACTCACCTCAGCATCTATGGCTGTATTCCCTAGACTCCTGGCTGTTAGCAGGCACCAGCCTGTGGTCCTTTCCCATCCCCAATCCAGGAAGCTTCAGGGGGGTGGAGGGGCACGAAGGGAGGAGGCATTAGGCTTGATTTGTTAAGGACTATAATGTATACAGTACCTCAAAGTGTGTGGTTTTGACAACAGAAGTGTATTGTCTCAAAATATCTAGAAGCCAGAACTGCCAGATTGAGGTTAGTCCCTCTGAGGATCTATTCCAGGAAGCTTCCCCAGCTTCTGGTGGAGTTTCTGGCAATCTTTGGCATTCCATGACTTGCACATCACCCCGACCTCAGCCTTCATCATTACATAGTGTTTTTCTCTGTGTGTGCCTGTCTCTAAATTTCTCCTTTTTTATGAGGACACTCGTCACAGTGGAGGAGGGGCCCACCCTCCTGCAGCATGACCTCATCTTAAATAATTAGATCTGCCATGATCCACTGCCAAGTAGGTTCCATTCTAAGTCCTGGGGTTAGAAACTCCGGGTTAGGGATTTGGAGGGATGCCCTTATCTTGAAAGCAGCCAGTTCAGGGAAAAAGAGATTCCCCTTTCAAACCCTGCTCTTCTTCAGGATTTTTCTGAACACTCTCGGCTATGCCCTTGAGATGTTATCTTAGGAATCTAAGGGTTCCAAGCAGGGGCCTTTCCTTCCTTTCTGTGCCTTCCTCTCTCCAAGGGGTAAGGTGAACGATAGCTTCATTACCTGTGTCTAGCAAGAGTGAACAGGGGGAAAAAAATCAAGAAACCTTCAACATTTCCAAGATTCTGCCCTTCACAATAAATGCATACACCTGTATACCTTTTCCTGGAGTGTGGAAGAGGAAGACTAAGGCCAGAGGCTCCTGGAGGAGTTGGGGGGGGGCAGATGTGTCTTCTTGGGACACAATAGTGGACGAGACAGATTTTTGAAAAAGACATTTATTTTAAAATTTGTACAGTCTTTGGATAATTTAGAATGAACAGGTATGCTTTTAAAGTCTCTGATGCACTGACTCACACCTCAAATGAAGAACAACAGCAGATTTGATTGGCAGAAGGATCCTATAAGCTAGGATGCATACATGGCGACTGAAGTCAATGCCCATGTAGACAGAGGCTTTCCTGTCAATCACAGATTCTAAACTACCTGTGGCCAATATTAAACATAATCAAACTAACAATACATACCATCCACATCCACGTCATAGTCTCCTTCACTTAGGCCTCCACATTTAGAGACCACAGAGAAGGTTCTACAGACCCCAGAATCATATGCCACTTAATTTATTCCCCCACATTAAGAACAGTTAAAAACTAGAATCTACCCCGTGTAGTCACTCCACATTTAGAAACCACAGAGAAGGTTTTACAGATGCCAGAATCATATGACACTTAATTTATTCCCCTACATTAATAACAGTTAAAAACTAGAATCTACCCAGTGTAGTCCATCCCCCACATCAACAAGTACCTCCTGCTAACAAAACATCTGCTTCCTGGGCACTCCATCCCCAGTCCTAATGAGTTATGTGTCTGAGAGCAGAACGTGGAGGAAGCCAGGGATGCCCTAGCTTCATCCCACACAGCAGCTAAGCGGCCCAATGCACCGGGCACCCTCAAGCAGAAATAGTCCTGAGGTACAGTCAGCAAGAAGGGGCAGGCTCATGGGAGCCACAAACAGGGCAGTTGCCTCACAGTAGAAAGGATGCCATGTTCCTGTCCACTGCCCTACTTTGCAGCAAAGACCAGTCCTGGTGGAATCACCGAGCAGGCCCTGAGGCCCGGTAAATGAGGAAGGACAGCAATGTACCTACTTCCTATGCACCATGGACACAGTCCGGCCACATGCTTTCCTGTAGTCCCCACACAGCCCTGTGAGGTAGGATTGTCACCCCCATTTTACAGATATGGAAACAAGGGTTCAAAGAAGAGATTTTTTGTAAAGTGGCAGTGAGTCTGTGAGGGTCGACCTGAAACCCAGAGCTTTTCACTTCAGGCTTCTGTTGTCTGCATAAGGCAAGGGGTCAGCAGTAAACAGGTATCTGAGGCTCAAACACTGGAACCCTGTGAGCACACAGGGCCAGGCTTGGGCATCCAGTGGACTGTATCTTAGTGGCCTGCGTTCCTTTGCATTCATTATTTTTTTTTTAACCACTAAACAAGTCACTGAACGACTCCACACCAGGGGCTGAGTGGGCCTCAGAGAACATGCTTGCCGAACACAGTGGGTGCTTCCTGCCCAGAGACCAGTGTCACCCCCTTGCAGGGGCTGGCGGAGGACAGGACAATCAGCATCACACACCTCACACCTTGTGAGAATCGGTTATGATTAAGATTCTAACCTAAGTCCTAGAAAACACAGTCCCCACGCCCTGAGAGACCTTCCATGGACAGCCCATGAGGTCAAAGAAGTTGGGGTCAGGATATCTGTCAAACAGAAAACAATTAAAAGTAATCTGGGAGGGGAGACTGCTTTAAGGGAATGTAAGCAGTTAGAAGCTTAGGAAGTAGACATTTTTTAAAAAAATAAAGAGTCCCAGTCTATCTGACTCATCTTGTATCTACTGTGGGGTGGCACTTGCTGCCAGAGTGGGTAGGGGCGTCCTAACAAAAATATCTTGGGTCCCTATGTCCTAAAAGGACTTAGAGAATGTCAGGGAATAATTATGGGAGAGTGGAAACCACAGCTCTTCTGACACAGGTGACATCTGCTTGACATGTGTCTCTTTCCCAATGCCACACCTCTATAAGAACACGGTAGAACAGGCTCCTCCTGGGTATACAGACAGCAGGTGCTCCCTCTCTAAAGCCCAGTGCCCTGAGCACATGGAATGTTTGCATTCTAGCTGCCCATTGGGTGTCTGTCTCTTCCTCTCAACAGTGACCGGGTTGAGGACAGGAGCTTTTTGTACCTTTTGTCTCCATATGGAGAGGGAAGGGGAACTACTCAAGAGCCGTTGTTCACAAGCACCAGGCTTGAGGATCAGCATAGACAGGGTGACAACAGGACCATGTCCCCAGGGAAGTACCCTTGGGAATGACTTTGCTCTGGAGTAACTGAGCATGCTTCCATGTCCTGTACCAACGATTTGCTTCACCCCCGTTCCTCCAGAGCCACCCTGCATCTGGCCCAAATCATGCCTTGGGAGAGTTTCATGAAGATGTGGAATCAATACCTCCATAAAGATTTCAAGCCATGGAGGGTGCTGGTTTGTGAAGATGACATCATTCAGTTGGGAAAAACAAAATCTGGTTTTGGCAACCCTGGGGAGAAATGAGACTCTTTCCCCTGCCCGTGTGGAAAGAGGGGATGGCGCCGTCTAAGGAGGAATGTGTGTGGCAGGAATCTGAGCTCCTATACTCTGGCTTTGGGAAAGGCTGGGTCTCCCTCTTGCCATCAGGCTCCAGAAGCTCCAGAGTTCTTGCCAACAAAATTCCCTAGAGTGCAAGAAATAGACTTGGGAAAAAAACAAAACAAAAAACATTCCTCTAAGCAGGGGTAACCAGGAGACAAGCCATAAAATGACCGAAGGAGAAGATGGAGAGTGCCCAGCTAGAGAAGTGCTCAGCAGTGAATGCTCCGGAAGCCGGACAGCGTGGCTTTCCCAAAAATGTAAATGTCTTCATCTGTGCCCTCGTTGAGTTGCTTCACCATATTCTTCTCGAAGAGCAGCGGGTGGTATGCACCCATCGTGCAGGCACTGTCGAAGAACTTCTGGTGGTAATAGCACACGTCAGTCTTGCGCCTGGACGGGAGGAACTCATAAATATCTACCTGGTCACACAGTGTCATCATGATCATGATACCTAGAGAAGGAAGCAGAGGTGAGCCATGGCCAGCAACCACGAGCAACCCAGAACTCTGCCCAGGGACTGCAGCTGCTAAGCAGCACCTTGAATTAGGTGAGCAGTCACCCAGAGTCCCATCTATTCCTATGATTCCCAGTCTGGATTTTTCTGATAAGCCACGGCTACGGCCTGGCACCCATCAACCTCCCGCCGTTCTACAGGATTAAAGGACTCTGTCAGTGAATTTATCAATGGAGTAAGCTATAGTAAGCCAATGTGAAGGAGACAACGAATGAAACAATGCTACCACTTGTACTTAGCACTTCCAAGCATTGTGACCCCCTGCCACAAGCTTCACAGGGAACAATTAAGATGACTGACTCATGAAATACCTGTAAGATACAGTTCTGAGGACAGAAACCATCTCCCCCTAGTTGGGATGAGATAAGGGAAAGCAGAGCCAAAGCATGGCCCACACTGGTGCTGTCCAGGGAGGCAGGGCAGTGAGATGCAAGCCCATCCAGGTACAGGGGACTCTAATGACCACCCAGACTTGACCCCAACTGGCTGAGTTGTCTTGTGCAGAAACAATATCCCTATGTGCCTTAGGCTCTTCACCTGCTCTACGAGGGAGATCTAGGCAATGTTTCTACTGTGTAGGTCGTTGTTAGGGTTCATTAAGACCCCAACTGAAGGAGCCCTTTTCAGTAACTATTAATATAGGGCATCTTTAAGATGGAGCAACTCTCAGCCAAAGGTAAAGCTACAGACTGTGGCAGCAGCTTTGTTCTAGAAGAATCGCACACTGGAAAAACACTTCTGCTCTCCAATTGCTCCTGGCTCAATGAGGAAGAAAAGCTGTCAGCTCTGCGCTGATGCAGGCGTTACAGAAGCACCCCTAGGAAGGACAGGAAGGGCCATGTCTCCTCAGTAAAGCCTGAGAGCACTGGTGTGGGGTGAAGGGGCAGTGTACTTAGGAGGGAGAACAGGTACAGCAGGGACAACACAGACAACAGCAAGGCAATGGGGCAACAGGAAGTGTTTTCCTCAGCATGCCAACTGTTTCTGCTCTAAAAGCTCCAGGAAGAACCCAGATGCACCTACCTGAAGCAGAGGTTACAGAGGGGATGCCACACTGCAAGGGCACTAATTTCTTTTCATCTCTGCCTCTAATAGAAAAGCTACTCCTTTATTCCAGCAACATTTACCATGCCAAACCCACAAGGATAAGCAAAACACAGCTAACAGCCTAGTATGTCATACATTGCACAGTGGTGGGTCCCTGGAACCATCTGGTTCGAAGTGTTCCACTATAGGTACCCAGGGAAGGAGTGTCCATGCCTCTGCACAGACAGCCTGTATGCTCGTGGAAATGTCCCAGGGCTCCATCCAATGAGAAAGGGGGGGAAGGATAGATGGGTGGTGAGAACTGAGGGGTGTGGAAGGAACGTAAGAAGAGAGGCTTTGACCAACATTCAGGACCCCAACCCCTAGGCCATCCCACATCAATTTCCCACTTCCTACATGACCCCACACAGGCAAGCTCGCCCATCTTCTCTCAGGGTTGTGACTAAGACATCCACACAACGGGAGAGGTACTATTGACTCAGGTTCCAAATGTGATTCTGCAAAACAGTTTTACTAGTTCTGTCTGTATTTATGTGGCATTTTGTTCATTATAAATTTTGGCATTGTGATTTTTAAAGATATCACATCAAAATATTACTTGATTAATGAGTTTTGGCATACTCTCTAAATTGTAAGCGCAAGACAAGGGTCTTGCTCACCCCATCCAAGGTCCTATTTTCTCACTTCCTTCTCTTTGCTTAAGCTTCCCTTTACCCTATTGCTCCATGTCAAACCCTCCCTTCCCTCCTCCACAGAACTATCTCTGACTGTCCAGCTAGCAGGGTTCTTCTCCCTGACAATAGCAAGGGTCTCCTCATTGTGGCACAGACTGAATGTGGCCTGAGATGCCTGACCAAATTCCCTCAGCAGACATCTTCAGAAGGAAAATCACATCTTATTTGAGATGGAACTTACAAACAGAACAACTGTCCCAGTGAATGAATGAAGCCAGAAGAAAGCTAAACTCTTCTATAAACTCTTCTATAAGACAGGAATCACAGGAATCACCCCACACACCAGACTCACCCAGCATGCCAGAGGATGGGGGATTTGGCTGAATCCTGTCTGGAGCAATTTCCTGAATGATGTCCCACAGTTCCCATGGCATCTGCGGCCTGAGGATATAAAAGGGCTGGTCGGGATACAGCTTGCGATAACTCTTATACGTTTCGAAGAAATTGTAGTCTGGCTTCTGGTACCACTGTGGGAGAAAAAGGAAATGGTTGGATCAGCAAATAAATAGACTCCTTGCACAAACATTCTTGCCAGAGGATCAGTCTTTTGCAGCGCATCACAAACTTCTCCAAATCACGGCATTCGTGGGTAGTACAGTAGTGTTCAGGACATAGTCTGGTGACCCTGGAAAGGCTTCGTACTTCAGAGTCACCAAGTCTGGGAATGGTATCAGCTGAGAAGAGGTCCTGCAGCATCTTTTATTAAAAAACTGTCTTTTATTGCTGTTCATTTGTTTGTTTTTAAGCAGTTCTCACTATTTTGCAAAGGCTGTCTTTGAGTTCCTGGTCTCAAGTGATCCTCCTGCCTCAGCTTCCCCAGTAGTCAGGACCAGTATACCTAAGTCCCCTACTATTGAAGGAGAGGAAATTGGGGTCCAGGTTGTTGCATCTATGGTTCAAGAGTCCTTCACCTGACTCAGGCCAGACTTGGGTTATAAGTGAGATCAGTGGGAAACTGTAGACTTCAGAAGGGACGGCACTTGTGGCTGCCACAGTCTACTAGCTGTTAGTGGACATGTAAAGATTAAGTGTGACAAGAAAAGTGCTTTCTGGGGAACAGAGAGCAGAATTGTGGCTATTAGGCTTCAGTGTGGCTCTTTTAACAATGGGGAAACGATTGGTTTAAGGATATAAAACTGCAGTTGGACAAGAGGCATGGACTCTGTAAAGTCTTGAGGTCTACTGAGAGCATGATAAATATGGTTGATAACAATATGCTATATTTTAAAAGTTGTGAGATAGTATACTTTAAGTGTTCTCAAAACAAAAATGATGAATATGTGTGATATAACATGTTAATTGGTTTAATTTAGCCATGCCATTGTGAACATACTGTACTGTGTATCATAATTGTGCATGACTTTATTTATGAGCTAAATAAATGAATGAAAAAAAAAAAAACTTTGGGGAGCCCCCGTGGAGGGGGGAGGGGGATGGTGAGGCTGGAGGGAGGGGGAAGAGGGAGAAGGGATTGACATGTAAAATTATAATTTGAAAAAATTAAATAAAAAATTAAATAAATAAAAAAAAGAAAAGTGCTTTCTGTCTTGCTTTGTAAAGCCATTCTCCTGGGGCCACAATAACCCATGCCAAGAGAGGCTAACCTACATATATGTCAAAAAATGGGAGGGCAGTTCCACAAGGCTGGGAGACCTTCTTTCCTAAAACATCTTCTTTCCTAAAACAACTGATCTTACAGATCTCTGCCACTGAGTTAGGAAATCAAGCCCTGGCCCGGGTCTTCCCTATCTACACTCGGCTTTCCTGTCTATAAAATGGGAGCCACCACACATCCACTTACTTCTTAAGAGCATTATAAGAGTAAAATGAGAAGAATTCTCAACATCGGATGTGAGAAGCAGAAATGTGACATTATTGATAGGAGTAACAGTAACTGTTCTTTTCCCCCCAGGGTTCATCAGGAGTAAGTTGCCTTGATGAACACAGTAAGTAAACATTGATGACCACAACTCTTACTCCACATTATCACTGGTCTAGTCCCCATCACTCCCAGTATGTACCATCACAGGAAAATATGCAAATGACCTTTCAGAGAAGGCATGCAGAGGGGCTGGTTAGACGGGAGTGGGGGGAGGGGGGTTCTGAGTGTGCTAGTGTATAATGGACTGCCTAAAACTCAAACAGCCAGGAGTGGCTCAGTCAGATAGGACTTTAAAAACCAAGAAACATGAGGAAATCTCAGGGCAGAAGGGAGGTCCACTTACGCTTGGGATATCTGCATGGTACAAGGATGGGTCCCACACAATTAGGATTCCTTCACTGTATAAGCTGTCCTTAAGGAACTGCTTTTCTGTGGTGATTAACTGCAGTGAGAAAGAGAGAAGATGTAGCATAAGTATTTATGTGTAAATATTTGGCTCATGATAACAATTGACACAAACATCACCAGGTGGGTACTACCTGAGGTCCAGCGCCCGATATGAGACCCTATGCTGGTTTAGGCTTACCTTCAAGGAAAGACAGGAACGATGCTCAAGTGAACTGTGTTTATAACAAGCTGTTAGCCATAGAGGAGAAAGGGTTCCACTCAGACTCTGAATATAAAGGGTTACAGTGAAAATGGTACAGAACCATAGTCCTATAGCCATACTTTGCCAGGGGTAGAGAAATGAAAACTAATGGCTCATTTTCCAAGTTGTCACAGGCAAGCTTGGACCCAGTTACAGATACACTGAGAATATTGGATCCCTTCGAGTGTCTGCCAGTCCAGCTACAGTCCCACCCCAAATTACTAACAGTCAAGCTTACCTAATCGCCAGGGACATGACAAGGTCATGTGCCTCATACGCTTTAAATAAACATGACGTAAGATGCAACAATGAGCCCATCCACTATCTTTGGTAAGAAACAGACAAACACAAATGGCAGAGAGAATGATAAAGCAATGGTGTGGACTACTCGGGATTACTCAGTAAGGAAGGAAAGGGACAAAGAATCAGGCAGGCTCTCTGGACTATAAATCTGTTCTCTGAACTCAGTCAGTGAGCCCACCACTATGGGCTGATGCCTGGTCTTACCAATTCATAAAATGATAAACCAACTGCCTTGTTTTGGTCACGCTGGGTCTCCAATGCTCATATTCCTGTCCCACAGGAGAAGTCAGAGTGGGATTTTAAGTCCTTATTAAATATAATAATTAAGGATCCACAGAAGTCCTTTCAACCATCCACAAAGTCTAGGGTTTAGTCTGATTACATTGTCTCTCATAGGTGCCAATACAGACCATAGTTTCTCCATCACCAATACAAAGTCACTGTGTCTCTGGCTGAACACCAGAAGTCAGCAGCTCATGTGGAGGGACCAAGTATACTAAAAAAAATTACCATCTTCAGATGCAGTTTCTCACCAGACAGAGAAATAGATGCTCAACTGCAACCTAGTGTGAGCATGAGGCACAGCCCAGTTCCCCATCCTTCCCTGGCTGCAGAAACGTGAGTGTGCCAACCTTGATGGGGCACTTCCATAAAACATAGTAAGAAACTTAAGCCAAGCATCATATTTAGATTCAATAATTTCACTTTAAGGAATTTATCCCAAGAAAGAATCTAAGTTGGGGAGAATGTATGCATGGAATTGTTAATTGCATTACATATCAAAATAATAAAAGATAAGACTTGGATACAAAAAGGCCCAGGTGTTTCCTTGCCTTTACCACTAATACTCACTCTGCTCTCCCCAAAGGAGCTATTTTAAGTCTGCCATATGATCCAGCTATACCACTCTTTTGCTTGTGACCAAAGGACTCAGCCTCATAGTTCCCAGATACTTGCCCAGCCATATTCATTGCTGTTCTATTCACAAAAGCTAGGGAATTGAAACAACCCAAATGTCCTTCATCAGATGAATAGACACATATACCTTGGAATACTATTGAGCTGAAAAGAAAAATGAAACCACAACCTTTGCAAGGAAATGGATAGGACTGAAAACATACTATTGAGTGAGGTAACCCAGATCCGGAAAGACAAATGTCACGTGTCCTCTCTTATTGAATGTTCCTAGCTCCAAATCTTCAGATGTGAGCACACAGCTTGGCATAAATACAGAAACCAGGAAAGTAAAACAGGACCATGCCAGGGTATCAGGGTTGGGGAGTAATGGAGAAGGGAATAGCCGGGCACAAGTAATCTCATCAAGGTAATAGAAAAGGGGGGGCTCCTTGGGAAAGTGGGGAGGTAAATACAGGGAAATACAGACAATAAGGATGTCTGAAAAGGCCACAAGAAATCACACTATTAACCATTTACCTTTAAAAAAAGCTAGAATACATCTAATTTTGTGTATAAAAATACATATATAATTTTAACAAACTTTCCTCATCTGGGCTGATAGTGCTCACTCCAAGAACAAAAGACTACCTAACAAAAATGTCAATACCAGACATGAGAAACCCACTTTTGAGTTGTTGGTCAGGGCTGTCTAAGAGATTCCCCAAACATACAGCCTACTGCTGCTGCCTTGATTACCCCCAAGAGGTGTAAGGTAAGTCTCTATTACAGCAGAAACCATGAACTTCAGAAACAGAGCCCAGAGGTCCTGAGCTGGACCTGACCTGAATGCCCCTGGCTGAGGACTAGCTTTCATGGTAGCAGAAGGTACCATGTAAGCTTCTGAAGGAGGGAAGCAATCACCAGTCCCACCCAGCTATACAACCTGTGAACCACATCGACTACCAACATAGCACAATAACCCTATGGGTATAGTGGTGGCACACAAACCTTGTTGGTAACCCACAGCTCTCTAATTGGAATTAAGAGGGATCAACAATCAGGATTCCATGCCTGTACTAGAAACTTAGCCAACTACTCAGTGCTAGTGGAGTAGTGGTTATTGAAGGAGAATCTGCAACCAGCATAACCCATAATGACAATCTAGAAACGTTTGTCCTTATATCCACAGATAGTATAGTTCTCACCCCTCATTAAGGAAACTTCTGTTTGTAACAGATAGGGAGCACTGCAGAAAACCACAACCAATCAAAATGCAGAGTTATGGAGCTCAGACTTATCTACAAAACACAACCACACCCAAGGCTCAGAAAATGGAAAAGAGGGGGCAGAAAGATTGTAAGAGCCAGGGGATCAGGGAGTTTGCTGAGAGAGTGTGTCTCCTAGCAACACCAGAACCTCCACCTGTAAAGCCTTACCAACAAGACTGCCCAAACGTGAGCTGGATGAGGAGGATGTCAACAAACATGTCTGTCTGGAGACTTCAACCCTACAAGAAGAACTATGGTAACTGAGTAAAGCTGGGAGCATGGGAGGTGGCTTCTCCAGGGGGGGCACGCCAACTGGTTGTCCACTGACAGTCAGCCCTGAAAATACACATGCAAGTAACATATGGACTCAACAGTATATTGAGGAATATATGTTTATATACAAATACATATACACATGCAATAACAATTAGTGAAAAAAGCGGTTGGAAGGAGATTGAGGAGTATGTGAGAGAGTTTGGAGGGAGGGAAGGGAAGGGAGAAATGTTGAAATTAGATTATAATCTCAAAAATAAGCTTTTAAGAATCAAATCTGGAATATGAGTAGATAGGAAAGATTAGCCCAAAGGTTAATAACGAGGAGAGCCACATCCCTTTAACACACATACACACACACACACACACACACACACACACTATGAGATCAACGATCAAACATTCATTTGATAGCTGGGACATGAGGTTGTCCAGGTTAAAAGTGAGTGGTGCACTGGGTGTTGGAGGCACACGTCTTTAATCCCAGCACTCGGGAGGCAGAGGTAGGTGGATCTCTGTGAGTTTGAGGCCAGCCTGGTCTACAGAGCAAGTGCCAGGGTAGGCTCCAAAGCTACACAGAGAAACCCTGTCTCGGAAAACAAAACAAAACAAAACAAAAACAAAAAAGAAAAACAAACAAAAAAGTGAGCGGTGCATATGGTAAAAACCAAATTGAGAAGTGACTGAAAATGAGAGGAGCTAAGTTACAACAATCCCTCCTTACCTCAGTGATTAGTGTTAGGGCCGAGACCTCATAGCATCACTACAGTGTCTGGTAATGACACATTAAGGGAGATCTTTGTACGGTACAAAGAATAGCAATGTCATGAACTTCCCTATCCCTTCTAACAGATGGAGGCCCCCTGCAAGCCTGCAGATGTAATCTTCCAAAGGACATACTCTCCTATGAGACAGGTGCTATCAGCAATCGACTCTCGTCAATCGGGATTTGTATAGTTAGATCCTTGGCCAAAGAGCCAAGTATTACACACAGTCCCTGCCCTCCAGGTGGTCATAGCCTGATAGAGACAGTAAACAATGAAACAATGGCTAAATATACAATAGTATCACACTAGAGACAGGGTAAGAATGACAATGGGGTGTTTAGGCACTAAGGGATGATAAATGTTAACATGCCATGTCATGGAGGTCCAGGGAACAAAAATGCCCCAAACACAGAGAGCAAGTGCAGATTCTTGATACAATCTGGTGAAGATGATGAGCTGTCAACACGAACTCTTCTTCCTTCCTTGGTAACACCTCGGATATTTATTTCATTGTGTGGCAACCTACAAGAGCCTTATCTGAAATAAATACTTGTCAGCTGCTCTTGCAATTAAACAGCCGTATCACTAATTGTAACTAATAGTATGTAAAGAGTATGGCTTCCAGGAGGTGGCCCTCACCCTCCTGCTGGCTGAAATGTGGAGGTGATGTATGGAGCTTGAGTGGTCATCATGATGTCCCATGCTGACAACAGCAAAATAAAAAGAAGAAGGACCTGGGATTTTGTCACAGCAGATAATGTGGAAGTCAGAAATGTCTACCCAGGAACTTTCGTAAGACAGAGGATTACATTTTGGTCTCATTAAGGAAGTCTGGGGTGAGGGGAGATTAGGTGGTTCCATGCACTTATAGACAACCTAATTTCCATTATTAAGTAAGTTGTCTGCTTGGGGATTATAAGTTGTTCAATGTGGTTAGAATACAAAGACAGATGTGGGCAGGAGCCAAGTGGTAGGTCCTTCCCATCTGTATCTCAAAGGTTAGCCAGCTTCAGGCAGTCTTCCTAAGCATGTATACACACACACACACACACACACCATACATCCTATAAGGCCTTTCCTGAGGTACTAGCCAATACTGAAAAGAGCAAAGCTCTTAAGTAAGGCTCCTGTACTTATGTGGCAAGGCAGTATGACCTGGTTCAAGGGATTCTGATGGGAGAGAGTAAAACCATAATGAAGAAACCCAATCATTCCCATAGCAACTGAGCTTAGAGAAACAGCTAGCAAGAAAAGGTTACTCTGGGGAGATATGTCCTGCTGCTCA